GGACATGACGCCCCCACCCCACCCCACCCCCACCCCCCCCCACCCCCCCCCCCCCCACCCCCCTCTCTTCCTCTCTTTCCCTCGCCTGCCCTTCCTTACCCGCTCTCCCATCCACTCACCCCCTACCCCTACCCTAACCCTACCCTCGCAGCTGCGTGCACTTAGCATCATCCTTGAGCAGCGTGACGAGGAACGCCTCCGACTGCGCATGGAGCGCAAGGCTGCGCGCAGGGCTCGGCGTGAACAGCGGGGGCAGGCCAGCGGACACGTGGGCTCGGTCACCTTTGCGGCAGTCGGCTCGTCGTCGTCTCGTCGTCGTCCGGCTCGTCTGGCTCGTCGACTACGTCGTCATCGGGCTTGTCGACTGGCTCGTCGACCAGCTCGTCGTCCGGCTCGTCGACCGGCTCGTCGACCGGCTCGTCGTCCTTGGGCTCGTCGTCATGAATAACACACACGCCTTTACCTGTGTGCAGAGCAGGACACGACTGGCTGCTAGCGTAGCGGGTTGCGAATGAAGAGGATGCGGGTGGTACAGAGCGATTTGTAGTTGTTCTTGCTCACCGATCCGTCGTAGGCAGCACGCTCGATGTCCAGCGCCTGCTGCGCCGCAAACCGCTTGGCGCGGACTCTCTTGGCCCTATCCGAGTCGAGGCCTGCCACCGCGTCCGCCATTTGGCCCATCAGCGCCTCAAACAGCAGCCGAACATACTTTTCCCGCAGTGCCCGTGGATACTTGCACGCGATGACTCGCGCGTCCGGCTTGAAGAGCACCGGCTCAGGCTCGGGGGACAGCGCCGGCTGCGGCGCAGCGCTATCGTCGCCTTCCGGCTCGGGTGACGGCGGAAGGAATGCAGCAATCTTCGCCGCCGCCTTCTCGCCCTCGCCGGCTGGGGCAGCGTCCGCAATGAGAGGCGACGGTGGTCGTGGAGGCGTCGGCCGTCGCTGCCGGCGCCCACTCTCGTCGGTCGCCGCGGCTGCCTCAGCGGCAGCTCGTGAGGCCTCGCGCGCCTTGCGGGACTGCGCCAGACGCGCCCGCTCCTCGGCAAGCGAATACCGGATCGGCGGCGGCGCGGCGTCGCCCATTCCCAGCGTCGTCGTCGCTGATTCTGTTGCCGTCGTTGGTTGCGGCGTGGAACCCGGTCTGCTCCTTGCGGACGACTCGGCAGGAACATGGCGGAAGGGGCACAGCGGGCGGCGGACGCAGATGTCAGCGTCTGGGCATGGCACGCCCCGCCATCGCCGGGTGGCAAGCATACTCGATATGCGACTGGAGACGAGTATGCGGATGTGGCTCGGACAGCCTGGCTTGTGTCACTCGCTAAGAGCGGCTCAGCTGTTTCTTCCTCTCCGCCAATTTGTCACACTCGCGTGCCTCCGCCTAACACGTGCACGTAGATGTTTCCTCCGCAAGCCTTCGTGGTCACCTGCCGCAATGAGCCCACCAGGATCACTTTCCGCAACGTCTCGCATAACCTATGTAAGGCCCGCTTGCTCCATGCTTGCTAGACGAGGTATACTCTCTGACATCGCTGTGAGATGATGTGTGGGTTATTGGAGGGTGTGTGGTCGGTGGTGGAGGTCGCTTCTTGCCGCACTTTCAACTCGTTTCCTACTTGAGTCAGCGCGCCTACCCGCTTCGCCCCGAATCACCCCCGTGGCCTCACCCCTCTCCCGAGCCGACCTTCCTCCATTGGAACGTGACCCGCTATCCAGGCGTGTGTGCCCGTGCACGCAAGGTTTCCCCTCTTGTTGCTCTCTCTCGCCACGCAAGCGTCTGCACTTGTGTAGGCTGACAATGGTGTCCCTGTTCCGCTTTCCGCTCCGCACTTTCTCAGCCGCTTTTTTCTCGCTTGTTTCACTCTATCGGTGGCGGCGAACAACGTCGGCGTCGACATCGACGTGGTGCTCCCGGCCATGCTGACGTACCCAAACACCACCACAATCACGGTGGTCAATGCTTCGATGGTGACCAATGCCGGTCTCTCGCCCATTTCTCTCGCTGCACTCCCAGACTCGACGGTGACGCTTTCGTTGTTGACCGAGGCGACTGGCGCGCGGGCCCGAGCCTCCGCCGTGGTGGACCAGCGGCTCGCACGTCGGCTGGGGAGCCCCATCGCGGTGGCCCCAGATGGCTGGACGCCGCTTACCCCCGGCACGCCGGCGCTTGTTGACATCTCCATCGACTGCGCCGACACCACGCCCGCGGCGTTTGACCCAAGCTCACCCAAAGAGGTGGCAACGGTGTTTGTGGCGGTGGCGGACAGCACCGGCGCCGCCGATACCATCGTCATCACCTTTGAGGTTTTGTGCAAGGTGCCGGCGGCCTCGTGCGCCGCACTTAACGACTGCTCTGGGCATGGGGTATGCGAGATGCTTCCGCTCGCACCGTACCACGGCTGCACGTGCGATGCAGGATATGTCGGCGACGATTGCTCTGGTCGATTCGGGCTCGGGCTCGTCAACTTTCCGCCCGAGTCGCCGGTCTCTTGCCCAGGCGTCATTACCCTCGACCTTGGTCTGCCGGATGATCTCGACCCGGCCGACACTGGCGTTGCCATCGTTGTGGATCTCTTCACGTTTGCTTTTACCGACATCAAGTTTCTCAACAACGAGCGAAACTCCATCCCGTCCAAGCCGCTTGACTCGGGTGCGCTAACCTTTGAGATTGTCCATCCAGGCACCTTTTACATTGTGTACGCTTCGGGCTCGTCGCTTGTTGGCTACTCGCTGGTGACTGTCGTCGAGTGGGCGCCGCCGTGTGGGCCTGTGGCCTGCTCGCCGGCCGACCCGATTGCTTCGTGCTCTGGCCGTGGCTCGTGCACCGGCTCGTCGATGCTCGGAGGCCCGGCGTGCGAGTGCTCAGACTCGTTCTACGGCGCGGCGTGTGAACACGGGTGTGCGGAGCGGGCTGTCCGTACCGGCTTTGGTGGCCGACTCACCGACGGTACGCCGCGGCACCTCCCGCTTGCGCCCTCGGCCAATTGCACCTGGGTCTTCCATCCGAATACTCCCGGCGACGGCATCCGCCTCGTCATCAATTGGATGGACATCGATCCGGATGTACCACTCATTGTCACCTCGCACGCGCCTGGTCAAACCTCGCGCAGTTTCTCGGGCCGGACACTCCCGCCGTCTCTGGATCTTCCTTATGCGCCTGTCGAGCTCTTTATCGAGGAGCCGAGCAACAAGGTCTCGTTCGGCTTTGACCTCGAACTCTTTACGCTCGGCTGTCCGGCCGGCTCATTCATCGACACGGTCGCGCTGGACTACGAGCCCGACTCGTGGGTGACGCCGCGGTGCACGCCGTGTCCACCTGGCTCGTTCTCGTCAACCCGGGATTCAACCTCATGTCAGCTCTGTCCAGTTGGGTTCTTTGCGCCGCTCGCGGGATCGATCTCGTGCTCCGCGTGCCTGGCGGGTACCGCCACCTCCGTCGAAGGCGCCACCGCGTGCGACGTCTGCCCGGCTGGCCATTTTTCCGGCCGTGATGGCCTCTCGTCATGTGCTGTTTGTCCGCCGGGATACTTTGCAGCCCAAAACGCTTCGTCTGCGTGCGCCCGGTGCGACGTCACTGGCTACGCACCTCTCTCGGGCTCGAAAGCATGCGAGACGTGCCCGGCGCTGACCCGGACTCCGTACCTTGGTGCTACCCAGGTCACTGAGTGCTTGTGTGCGCCAGGATCGTATCATCCGCAGGTCTACGCTGCCCATCAGCACAACGTGAGTGTGACTCACGGCATTGCGTGCGTGCCGTGCCCGAACGGCGCCGTGTGCACCGGCGGCATGGTTGTGCCCCATGCCAAGCCGGGCTACTGGGCTTCACCCAAGGATCCGCTTGTCTTCCTCAAGTGCATCGAATCCGAGGCCTGTCCTGGAGGCGAGCCGGGCGTGTGTGGCGGCGGGCGGGTCGGAACTCTCTGTTCACTCTGTCCGATAGGCTACTTTGCCTCTCTCCACGGCACATGCAAGCAGTGCTCGGCGGCGAACAAGGCCGCGCTCAGCATCGGCATTGTCTTTGGCTGTATTGCGCTTCTCATCCTCCGCTACATTGCAAACATGAATGTCAACGACAACCTGCGGTCGACACTTGGCCTCGGCACCTCGTTTGGCATCTGGATCCAGTACCTTCAGTTTGCCGACCTCTTTGCGTCATTCTCCGTCAACTGGCCGTCGACCACTCAGGCGGTGCTTGATCAGATGGCGTATGCCAACCTCGACTGGGACGCGTTCACGCCGTCGTGTGCGGTTTTGGTCCCGTACGAGATCTCGTACGCACTGCGTGTTGCGGTCCCGATCTTTGTGGCTGGCTTTTACGCCGCCTATCACCTTCTTCATGCGACGCTTCATCCTATCATGGTCTCTCTCTTGAAGCCAGCTGTCATTCAGTCGCACCGTCACTGATGGCTGTGGAGCAGCACCGGGCTGTGCTACGGTCGGCGACAGCAACGGCAGGTATGCGGATCGACGCCTGGCTCCGAAAGACAATCGGCAAGTTCCTCACTGTCCATACTCCGCTCACTCTGGCCGGCTCGTTCAACGCGGTCCTGCTTTTCTGCGAGATCTTCTTCATTTACATTGTAACGACGCTGTTTGAAGTCGTCGGCTGCATGTCGGGTGCGTATGGCCAGCTCACGCTCGTCGCCAATCCGCAGATAGAATGCTTCTCGTCGGCGTGGTGGGCGCATCTCTTCCCGACCACCCTCGTTGCCGGCATCATCTACCTCGTCTGCCTTCCGGCGGTCCTCCTCTACGGCATTCGCAAGATCCACAAGACCGAGCCGACGATGAACGATGAGCACTTCCTGGCTTGGTCGCGCTTCTCTTCAGTCGTCTTCAAGTTCAAGCGGTCATTCCGGTGGTGGATGTTTATCATCATGGGACGCAAGCTTGTTATTTCTGTGGTCATTGCCTCGTTCCCGACCGCGCCGCTTGTCCAGGCCATGGGCTCGCTCATGGTGCTTTTTGTTGGTATCGTGGTCCAGCTGCTGTACTCGCCGTACCGGCTGCGGCAGCACAACCAAGTCGACTGGTTCCTCGCCTCGATGCACCTTCTGCTACTCCTCTGTGGCGTCCTCTTCTACATCGACAGGTTTGCCACCCGTGGAGTCTGGGAAATTGTCGTTGTCATCTCGCTCACGCTCATCATCATCTCGTGCTTGTTCATGGCGCGCATCATGCTTCTTGAGCTGCGGCGGCTGGCGACTGACAAGCCAGTCAACTCTGAGTCTTCGACCAAGGATCTCTTTGCCCGGCGCCACATCGCGTACACCCCGTCCATGGCGCCGCTGCTGGAGTCGCTGCAGGTCTCGCGGGCCGCGTTTATGCGCTACCTCTCCATCTGCTCCGACAGCGACTTGGTGCAGCTCACATCGGTGGCTGACGCCGTTGCACTCTCGCTCTCGCAAACCAAGCGGATGCCAACCTCGACCGGCCTCATTGCGCTCGCCTCCAAGTATGCGTCGCATGACGAGGTTTCGTCAATGGACTCGCCGTTCTACGCCTCGATGATGGATGAGAGCTCGGACGACGACGATATCTCCGATCAGGCGAACACCTTTCCCAACGGCGGTGTGTACCAATTGCAATTCTCGCAATCGTTCCCGGATACAACTCATCTGCCGACAGTTCATGACGACGAAACCGTCGACCAGATCCCTCTCGCCGACGCCCACAATCACAAGTCCGTCTCGTATCTGCTCCGCAACGGACGCGCGGCCCGAACAGACCTGACTGGAGGCGCCGTCTCGAGTTCAGTTTTCGCCGCACGACTCAGCAGCCGCCAAGCTCGTGCGCGAACAAAGTTCTCCCGCCGCCGTCGTCGCTCGAGCGTCACTCCCACAGATGCCTCGCTCTCGCCGATACCAGCCCGCAAGCGATCGGCATCCCGGGCGTCGCCGTCGCCGGGCCGACCTCGCTGTGCATCGGTCCGAACGCCGCCGAGGTCGGTCCAGGGCTTGGGACACGGTCGCTCGCGACGAGTTACCACACACGGTCAGTATGACGATTCGCACGATCGCTCGAGTGATGTTGAGCTCTCTTCACTCTCGATCCGCGCGCGGTCGCAACTCCGCGGTCCCAGCGCGGAGCCCGCGTCGGCTTCCCAATCGGCGTCATCAGACACCCTTCCTTGCTTGCGGGCAGCCATAGGCGCGTGTAGCTCGTCGTCGACGGCATCATCATCGCCATCGTCTGAGCGAGCCCAGCGCAGCAGCTCGCTGGCGCACTCGTGTTCAGACTCGTCCTCCGATTCAGGCTCGCGCTCGCCGGCCATGGCCGACCACTCACTCGCCGACGCACTTGTGTTCTCGCCGTACACAGGCGACATTGTCCCTGCTCCACCGCATGGCCTCGGCTCGATCGGCGCCGGCTCGCTGGTGGGAAGCTCGCCAACCTCGTCGCCGCATATCAGCTCCCTGCCGACCTAGTAACAACCTGACTGCAGTCCGCCCATTTCTCTCCAAACTCCCCCAAGTCGGCCCATGCCCGCGAGCGCCATTCTGCTGCATTGGCTGCTGCTCGCTGGCACCGGGGCGGTTGTCCTCGCCACCGCGGATGCAGCCAGGGGCGCCTCTTTCGCGCCTTCTACCCATCCAACTGTGGGCGAGTATGGCCGACTGCGTCTCTCCGGCCGCGTCGTTGTCTCACTTGGCACCCTCCACCGCCGAGCCGCTGGGCAGCTGGACGCATCACCTGCCGCCAGGCACTACACGCTCGTGCCCGACCGGTGCTCACCGCAGAATGAAGAGACATGGCTCGCTTTGGGTGCGGCAGCTGGGCTGGTAGACGCGTTGGAAGCTGCAGCGGTGGGCAAGTATCGGATAGAGGTTGAGGTAGTCGACGGCAAAGTCCTGGCTGTTGGCACCGCTGAGCCTTGTGGCGGAGGCGAGGGCCAGCTGGCGGGCGATGCCGGCTCTGACGACAGCCAGACCATCAATCTAGCGGTCATCCTGGTGTCGTTCGATGACGAGTCGTTCCGGTGCAAGTCCGAGTGGGTCGCCGAGGTAATGTGGGGCGGGCGTGGGTCGGTGGCTGGCCATGTGGCCGCGCTCTCGGGCGGGCGGGCGGTGCTGGCGCCGAAGCCGGCAGTCTTTGGGCCGTATCCGATTCCGTACAACACGAAAGGCCGCTGCGATCCGGACGGGTGGGCGCGCGCCGCCGATGCCGCGGCCACTAACGCAGGTGTCAATCTTGCAGCGTACTCGCACCTGGCATATCTTCTCCCGCATGGCGACGACATCGTCGGCGCGTGCGGGTGGGACGGCCTTGGCAACGTTGGGTGCGGGGCATGGTGCAGACTATGGTCGATCAGGTGCGACGCCGTTGACGTCCTCCTCCATGAGCTTGGACACAACATGGGGCTCCAGCACGCGGCGCTCCAACCCAACATGGATGGCGCGCCGGCCGACTACGGCGACGCTACCGCCATTATGGGCAACCACGACGGCGGGTACTCGCCCGGCCTCCCATTGCACTTTAACGCGCCGCACCTTGACGAACTCGGATGGCTCGATGCTGCAAGACTGGTGCCCAAGCCGAGTATGCCCACCGCAAGCGGCCTCGTTCACCCACTGGAAGGTGTGCCGACCGGCGCCGGGCCATTCGCAGTGGTGGTTCTCGATCCACTCGCGTCGTTCATTACCTACTACGTCTCGTTTCTTGGTGATGGCTTTGTCAGTCCCACCTTTGAGGCGGCGGTGGCCATCCACTACGCCGATCGACGCTCGACCATGTCATACCTGGTGGCACTGCTTCCTCTTCGCAAGCCTGTCAACTCGTGGGCGGTTCCGACGGGTTCGCTCTCGTTCCGTTGGCACCCCGACGTAGTCCGCGGCGCGCTGCGGGTCAGTGTTGAGCTTGGCTGCATTCGGTACCCACCGAGGCTGAGTGCGATGGGCGAGGGATTGCTCGCGCTGTCAAACATGGACTCTGCTGCGTGTCCGCCGACGGCCTTTGAGTTGTCGGACGCAGACAAGCAGTTCGCGTGGGCCGGCGCGGCGTCGACGTGTACCTCGCCAGTTGTGCAAGAAGGATTTGCGGGCGGTGCTGTTGCCCGCGATGTCGGCGTGTCTGACGTTCTTGCGCCAGTCCACGATGACACAAGAGTGGACAACATGGGGTGCGGGACTATCACCGGTGCGCTTTCCAGTTATGCAGCGGTCGTTGTTCACCCTGCATCTCCAGGCAATGGCAGCATTCCGCTGGCATGGCTGGACGAGCAGCTGGACGCCGATGCTGGAGAGCTGGTTCTCGACCTGGTACCAAATGCAGCTGGTCAGGAAGTGGCGCAATGTCTGGGCGGAGCTGTGAGCGTTGACGCTCGTCTGGCGGACGATGCCTCGTCGCCGCTGTTCTCCAATTCACCGAACTCACCTGCTCGCGGCCTGCTAGGGTCGAGAATGCGGATTGCAGTCAGGGTGGCGCGGGTCTCGCGGCGGAGTATACTCGGGCGCGGGCCGTCGTTGGACTCGCGATGGGGACTTGTCGTGATTGAGCTGGCCTGCAATGGAAGTCGGCACGAAGTGAGCGTGACTGTCGACGTCCCATGCACCGAGGAGCTCCTTCTCCGCGAGCAGCAGCCACTGTTGGCGGTGGAAGTCGAGCATGGCAACATGACCACGAGCGTGGTTACGGCTCAGGAGGCTGTGACGACGAGCTTTGCGGTTGTTGCGGAAGGCATTGGGGCTTGTGCCGCGATGCAGATCGAGGTCGAGGTGGACAAGACAGCATCGCCGGCGACCACGCATGTCCAGCTCTGGCCGCTGGCGGCGGAGAAACGCGTCGTTGACGGGCACTCGAGTGTTCGTGGGGCGCTGAGTGTGTATGTGGGCCCGCGCGGCCCATCAGGCCCCGGACGTGGGCAGGCGCGGCTGAAAGTCCGTGGTTTTCGGTCTCGGGTGGCGGATGGCGCCACCCGGCGCAGCTGGTGGCTGTGGATGGCGCCGAGGCGGTAGTGAGCTGGCCCCGCGACGGAGCAGTGCTTGTGGCCGAGCCGTGTGTCCGCGGTGAGCTCAATGTTGTGCAGGCTGGCTGTCCGCGGCGGCTCTCTCCGCGAATCAGCATGTTTGTGTGCGACATTGTGCTGCGGTCCAGCTCAAGCTGGTCGTGTCCGCCCAGCAAGGTCGAGCTGGAGCTAGTGCCTGTAGTTGTGGACCATCCTGCGCGCGCCGTGACAAACATCGAGCTGTTGCCGAATCAGGCGTTGATTGCGGCTGATGCGTTCCGCTCTTGGACTACGTCTGCGATTGTCCGGGTTGATAGTGATGCGCTAGCTGCGCTTCCGGCAGGGAATGTGGCGACTTGGGGTGGTTATGAGTTTGCCATTGTGGCAAAGGAGGTCGCCAGCGACATACCCCGGGCTCCGCTTGCACATAGTTTGCTTGTGGAGCCGCGAGTGTGCGTGCCGGTCCAGCTCTCGATGTGTTTGGTGCCCGGCTGGCCCGAGGTGGCGGCCGGGCAAGCACCGGCTGGCTGCCGATCCGATGTGGTGATGGCGGCTGGCTCGGGCGCGCCAGGCTCGGTGCTGAAGTATACTGCGTATGTTCGGAGCAACGACCCGAAGCCTTGTCCGTACTGGACGCAGGCTGCCGTGGTCTCGGGGAGCGACGGGCAACCGGTGTCAGTCTCCCCAACCTGGGCTTGGGCCGGGCGCGGCGGGTGGTCACTGCCGTTCCGGATCAGCTATCTTGTGCCGAACGAGGGTGGCGTGCAAGGGCTGCACAACGCGAGCGTGGTGGCACGTGACGTAGGCAACCGAGGCCTTGTCGAGTATGCTGTGCACGAGTCTAATGCGACGGTGATGGCGTGGGGAGGAGGCGACGGCTGCATCTACCGCAAGCTCAACATGAGCATCGCGTCTGTGGTCTCGACAAGTAGGCCAACTGTTGCAGCGGACATTGAGCAAGGGTCAGACGGGGCAGTTGCGACCGTGGTTATTGGGCCGTGGGGACACGTCCCTGAAGATCCAGGATCTGTGGCGCGGCTGGTGTTTGACCTCGTGGTCAGCTCAAACGACTCTGTGGCATGCAACGCGAGTGTAGTAAGCGTGCTTGGCATCGGGCCGCTGCCGTCTGGGGTGCGGGTGGTGCGCGCGTTGCGGCTGGGTATGCTCGCTGGTGGTGGACGGGTCAACGCGAGTGCCGAGCTTGAGATCGACCTCAGCGCTGTGGTGCCAGGCAACACGACGATGTCGTGGAATGTGACTGGTGTGGCTGGAGTGTGGGCGCACACCGGTGGCGTCGAGGTGAGGGTATCAGTGCGGTGCCCGAGGCCACCTGCGCCGCGGTGGGTAGCTGCATCGGTGGAGCAGTCTGTGTGGAGCTTTGGTACGTCTGCTGGCAAGGTGCGGGTCTCGTGGGAGCCATGCATGCAGGCGAGGGCGTGCTGCGAGGCGTATCCGATGGAGGTGCTCCGTGACGGAGCTGTGGTAGGGCTGACCAGCATGGGCGGCTTTGTGGACGAGTCCGGCTCGTTGCAGACCGGGCGCAAGTACTGGTACTCTGTTCGGCCTGCCGGAGGGAGGGACGGCAGCAGCGACATGTGCGAAGTGGCGACCGAAGTTCACGTGGAGAAGGACTTGCGTTGGATCGCGCTGCTCGTACTGCTGCTCGGGTTGGCTGGCTACGTTTTGGCGTCTCGGTGCGGCTCGCAAGCCGAGTCGATGTGTCGTCGGCTGAGCAGAGCGTGCGGCAAGCGGCGCGGATGGACACGGGTTGGGCACTCGGAGTCGCTGGCCAGTTCCGAGGGCGCAGTCGAAGTTTGGACCGGAAGCTTGTCAACGCGCGTCAGCGAATCGAGCTCTGTTGGGTCGTGGTGATTGGGTCGCGCTACAGCTCGCGGTCGGTGTGTAGCGGGGCTTGGTCCAGAGGCGAGAGAATAAATACGGGCTCGTACGAAGAGGTGAAGGGCCGGTCCTGGGAGAGGCGGGCGTCCGAGTCCCAGCCAAGAACCGACGAGGCGTCGACGAGCGGAATGAGCGGCGAAGGGTCGAGGGCAGGGAGGAAGGGTGCGAGGAGGGACGGGAGGCGTGCCGGGCCGTAGCGGCGGTGCATGTTCCAGACGAGCTGATCACTGCCGACCGGGACCGAGACAACGAGGACACCATGAGGGGCAAGGATGCAGTCTGCGAGGGCAGCCATAATGTCTAGGTCCGCGGACGGGCTAAGCGGGTCGCCGTAGCGGCCGAGGCCGTCGTGGTCAAAGGACGAGAGCGAGATGGCAAGGCCAAACGGGGTGTGAGTACCGTCTGCGATGTTGGTCGCGAGTTGGTCGGGCGTGAGGGTGGTAATGGAAGTCGCGCGGTAGTTGAGGGTGTTGTACTCGACCGTGGTGACGGCGTCGAGGCCAAGGGCGAGGAGCTCGGCCTCGATCCATGGCGACATGGAGCCAAAGACAGCGGCTGGGGCGAGGGCGGCGAGGCCGCCTGGTCGCGAGGCGTTAACGGCAAGGAGGGCAATACGGAGGAGGTCCTTGCGGTCGTGAAAGCCGGTGGCGGAGAGCGAGGCGGCGAGGGCATGGTAGGAGCCGGCGGCGGCAGCGGCAGCGGCGAGGCGGGCGTGGCGGGCCGAGGCGGCGAGAGCCAGAGCGGTGACACTCTCCTCAGACGCACCGTAGCGTGAGCCCTTTCCGCCCATGGTGTCATCGATGACCATCGAGTGGCTGGTGTCGACTGCGCCGCCCATCGAGAAGGCATCGGTGAGGGCGGGAGGCATGGTGTCTGGCGCGCAAGGCGTGTCGGTGAGGTCAAAGCAGGGCGTGTGCGGGGCGGCGATCCAGACAGCGCAGGCATCGTGGCGTAGAGGCGGGGCGGGAGCGATGAGGGAGGCAAAGGTGAGCGTAGGAGCAGGCGGGGGCAATGCTGATGCAAAGGTGAGAACAATGGCGAAGAGAGCGAGGCCAGAGAGCGCAGCCGAATCGACGAGCGGTGGCATACGGTGGTGGCGTGTGGTTTGCAGTGAGGTGGTGGCAGAAGTGGATAATTTTGGGTCGGGTGCAGGAGGCGCGTGTGGCGCGCAGTTGCGTCATAAGGATGAACATGAGTGGGCAGTGAGCGGGTAGTGAGTGACAGGAAGGATAGGGCATGAGGACATGGTATGCAAGTGGTCGAGAGGGGGCAGGCGGTGGGTGGGGGTGACTGATGCGTCGGAAGGGACTTCGCGAAGGTCGTGGGGTCGTACTGGCATTCATGAAGGATTCGGGCAGATGGAAGAACCGGAACAAAAAGGCGGCGAAGATTCGGCGACACCGGGCTGGCGTGCTAGGCCAGAGAACAGTCATCGTCAGCAGACACAGCGATGTCGAGTCCGCTGGCAGTAGAAACACGAATGGAAGCCCTAGGTGGAAGCAAGAAGAGCATGGAGGTTGCCGCGGCGACGCCACGATCGCAGCCGCCGTATTTGGCGACGGCCGACGCAGCGATGATCCGGGCGCAGCGCGGAGTGCTGGAGACGTACCTCGCGTTCTGGGACCATGTGCGGCTGAGCAAAGGTATCGAGGCCGACAAGCGGATGCGCGTGGCGTTGAGCAAAGCCGCCGACATTGTGGTACGCGTGCGATGGCACCTCGACGCGCTTGTGCCCGGGTTTTCGGCGTCGCTTTGCGGCGGCAGCGCGCGCGAATACCTGTGGTCTATGGACACTGTGCCCGGCGACGAAGACAAGTTTGTGCGTGGGCTAGTCCACGCCACGCTCTCTGACGTGGACGAGTTGTCGAGCGAGGCGATCGATGGGTATGTTGGTGAGATCCTGGCGGCGCTGACGCGCGAGGCGGCGATCGAGCACGACGCGCTGACGACGGCATTTGAGGTCGAGTGGGCGCGGCTCGCCGATCGGGTCAGCCATCTTCAGGCCGATCAGGCGCACGGCGGAACCGGGCCGCATCAGGTGGCGGATTTGCGGCGGGCGGTCAACATGATGCGTGAGTGCGCGGCAGTGGTCGCTGGGCTGGTGGAGGCGCATGAGCCACTCGGCTCATCCGAGAGTACCGAGTGTGTCCACGAGCCCGAGCTTGTGCTGCGAAGCAAGGTTGACAAGGTTGAGGTCGAGGCCGAGCCTGTTTCCGAAGTCGAGCCTGTTTCTGAAGTCGAGCCTGTTCCCGAAATGGAGGCTGAGGTCGAGGCCGAGCCTGTTCCCGAAATGGAGGCCGAGATCGAGGCCAAGGCTGGGGTCGAGGCCGAGCCTGTTCCTGAAATGGAGGCCGAGGTCGAGGCCGAGGCTGAGGTCGAGGCCGAGCCTGTTCCCGAAATGGAGGCCGAGATTGAGGCCAAGGCTGGGGTCGAGGCCGAGCCTGTTCCTGAAATGGAGGCCGAGATCGAGGCCGAGGCTGAGGTCGAGGCCGATCCTGTTCCTGAAATGGAGGCCGAGGTCGAGGCCGAGGCTGAGGTCGAGGCCGAGCCTGTTCCAAAGGACGAGCCTGCTGTTGAAATCGAGGGCGAGCCTGTCGACGACGACAACAACGATTTCGCTGCCAACGACGACGACGACGAAGCACTCTCGTCGCCGCACTCGGAGCTCTCCGAGTCGGACAATGAGGCCACGATCAAAATCTCCAACATTCACAACGACGTCACGCTGCTCACGGACCACATCCACCATCTTGACGAGCTGACGGCTGCGCTGCCAGAGCTCGAGGATGTGACCGCCGATCCGGAGCAGACGCTCGCGCTGCTGAAGCGGATGCAGACCAAGTCAATTGCCTACACCGAGGAGCTGATGCGTGACTTGCTCGCGCTTGACTCCATCACTGGCCTCGGGCCCGAGGTCCGCGCTCAGCGCAAGGACACGGTCGCCGACATCCAGCGCCTGCTAGACGAGGCCGATGCCGTCAAGACCAAGCTCCGACGCCACATCCAGATGCTCGAAGAGCGGCTCGCCGAGCGTGTGCAGGCTGTTGCCATGCCGCAGCCCACACCAGAGCCGGAACAGATCCCGGACCTTGAGCCGGTCTCCGACAACGAGGCAGCCATCCCGATCGATGTGGCGGCCTCGCCCAAGAACGACCTGGCCGAGGCCGAGGACGGAGTCATCCCGGTCGTCGACGCCACTCCGATCGAGGATGACGCAGGCTACGATCTCGAGGCTGAGCTGAACAAGCTCTGCGCCGGCGCCGTCGAGCGGCTCGCGCAACAGTGGCGCGAGCTCGACATCGAGCCGCAGTTTGAGGTGAGCAAGATGGCTGGCGGCGCGACAGCGATCTCGGCGGTCATCCCCGGCATGAACCGCAGGGACGTAGCCATCAATGTCTCGGCCGACGCGTACAACCGGCCAATTCTTACCATCCGTGGCGTGGTTGAGCCGTCGGCCGAACAGCTCGAGCGCATGGCCGCCGTCGCCCGTGCCCAGCTCCCGCGCCTTGCCGCCCGCTGGGGCCCCGCCGCCGACACTGCCACCCTCTTCGATGCCGTCATGCTCCGCCTTGGCGACGGGCGTTTCGGCACCTTTACCCAGTCGTACGTTCTCCCAGAACACACCACCCAGCGCCACATCTCGGGCTCGTACAAGGACGATGTTCTGCGCGTCGTCATCCGCCCGCCGCAATCCCGTCCGACATCCCAGCACCGCGCCCAGGCCGCCCGGCCCGCATATCCGCTCTGGGGCCGCCAGCCAAGCCGCGGCCGGTCCCTCGGCAGCGGATTCCCCTTTTGGTAGAGATAAACCTCTTCAGCAAATCGCACATCAAACGGGGAAAAGAATAATAGATCGGCACCCCGCGCCGTCCGGCCATGCATGCGTCGGACTTGCGTCATCGCCAGCTGTGGCTCGACCGCCAGCCGGCGGCGACTGGCTGCTGCTCGGGGCAGCGTCGCCCACCCCACCCCCTGCCACCACCCATGGCAGCCCCCCCTCCCCCCCGCGTGCAGCTCTTCATTGGCGGTCTTGACGGCTCTGTCACCGACCGGGACCTCAATGACGCCTTTGCCAAGTACGCCGTGCCCACCCCAGCCCATTCCCCCCCCCCCCCCCCCCCCACCCTTCCCCACCCCACTGTTGCTGCTCCCTGCCCGGGCGCGGGATGACCGACAAGCACACTGCTACCCCACCCCCACCCCCACCCCCCCCACCCACCCCCACCCCGCCCCCTACCTCCCCGACTCACCCCCTCTACCCCGCCACCCTCCTCTCGTCGCTCTGCATAGGTACGGCCGACTGACTCGGACCTTTGTGGCCCGTGGCGGCAAGTTTGGGTTTGTCTCGTTCGAAACCGAGGCCGAGGCCGAGGCGGCGCTGGCCGAGACGGGAGCCCAAGTCGGCCGGTGCGTCATCAATGTCGAGTTTGCCACGGGCGATGCGGCATCTGCTGACTCGGGTGCCTGCTTCTCGTGCGGAGAGCATGGCCACATTGCTCGGCGCTGCCCTCTCAAGCCCCAGCGCCAGGCCCCGCCCAACACCGAGTGCTACGCCTGTGGCCAGCTCGGCCACTTCTCCTACCAGTGCCCGACCAACCCGCGCGGCGGCGGCGATCGCGGTGGCCGTGGCGGCGATCGCGGTGGCTACGGCGGCGGTCGTGGTGGCTACGGCGATCGCGGCGGCTATGGCGGTGGCGACCGCGTTTTGCTATGGTTTTTGGCGACCGCGGCGGCTATGGTTACCGCAGCGGCTACGGATCACGAGGCGGCTACGGCGACCGCGGCGGCTACGGCGACCGCGGCGGCTACGGCGACCGCGGCGGCTACGGCGGCGGCGACCGCGGCGGCTACGGCGACCGTGGCCCTCCTGCTGGTGACCGTGGCTACGGCGGCGGCGACCGCGGCTACGACCGTGGAGGCGACCGTGGCTACAGCCGCGGCGGCAACCCGCGGCTACGACGACCGCGGCGGCTACGGTGCGCCGGGCCGGCGACCGCGGCTACGATGCGCCTGCGCCTGCGCCCGCTTGCTCCGGCGCCCGGCCGGTTGTCTACGGCTACCGCGGCTACGACCGCGGCGGTGACTCGCGGCAGCGAACGCT